CTACAGTTTCTCTGCTCCTTTCTGTCAGTGTGACTTCTGGTGGGAGTTTTGTGGTTTTACTGCAGTATAAATGAGAACACCAGCTGATGTTTTTTCCTGTGAAGTTGGTACACGAGGCTGGCCTTTTTAATAAACATGTTCCTTCATGTTCTGCATTTTAATGCCATTAACTCAGAGCTCTCCCATCATGACTCCTCATTGGAAACTTTTGGTTTTACATCTACAGGTCAGCAAAGGATGAGTGTCTTAGACTAGAGTGGATTTTTACACACCTGCTGTTAATATTTCCATCTACAGACAGGTTCATTTAGACAGTGACACTTTCATACAGGCCTCCATTATCACAGTAATTGAACAGTTTACTGAAAAACAGTTTCATGGCTGCGTGAATATAGAGGAGAGAAACAGCTGGTGGTCTGAAGCATACCACATCACACGTCAAACATGGTGGAGGTAATGTTATGGCTCGGGCCTGTACGGCTGCGGTGGAAGTGGGTCACGGTTTATTGATGTTGTGACTGCTAATCGAAGCAGCAGGATGAACTGTGACGTGTGACCTTTGCTCTCCGCTCAGAGTCACGCAAAAGCTGCAAAACTGATCGGACAGAGCAGGTGGAGTATGAGCCAAAGCAAACTGTAAAAGCAAATAAAGTAAATAAATGGGATGTTCTTAATGAAATTATGAAGTTTGACAGTTGAAGATTATACACACGTGTGTTTTATTCCATATTAAATATGACAGGTGTGTGACTTAATGTCCACTGTATTGTTCGCTGCTGTGCAAGAAAGCAGGAAGTGTCTTAAAGCCACAGTGTTCAGGCTTATCTGCAGCTTTCTGCCACTGACGGCTCATTTCACTCTTGTGTGTCTCAGCCATGTGGACACAGCAGGCAAACTTCTTATTTTTGGCCACAGGTGAGATGCATTTGACATCACTGAGTAGTTTTCTTATCTCAGCATGTTTCACTTTACAGTCCAGAGAATAATCAGCCTTATTTCTCTTTTCTACAGTCTCTTGTGTGTCAGCTGCTGCAGGTCAGTCGTGTTTGACAAAATGAGTCTAAATGATAAAGTTTGGTGTAAATAACACGACATAAATACTGTGCACGCTCTTCTCTCTTCTGTTAGGTGGTCAGATCAGATTAGCTGGGTCTGGGTCGACTCGCTGCTCTGGAAGAGTTTAAATCTATCACAGTGGCTCCTGGGGAACAATCTGTGACGATGACTGGGACTTAAATGATGCTGAGGTGGTCTGCAGACAGTTAGACTGTGGAACAGCACTGAGTGCAACTACAGATGCTCACTTTGGTGAAGGAACCGGGCCGATCTGGCTTCATTATTTGGGCTGTGCAGGAACTGAAACGTCTCTACGTAAGTGCGATCATGGAGGCTTTCGGTAACAAGACTGTGGACATCATGAGGACGCTGGTGTCATCTGTTTAGGTGAGAGATGTTTGGATTACGCACGGTGTCTCAGATACTGTAAACACGTGTTTTTGGCTGCACTGTACATTAAACAAATCTGTTTTATCATCCAGCAGATCAGGTATGAAATGTTTCCTATTCAATATGAATGCAGCTGTAATCCACAGAGAAAAACATCCACTGTTCTCTAAGCTATAAAACTGAAAACAACTTTGTCCACACAGCTATGTTATAATTATGTGACACCCGTCTCTACTGAGAGGGGCCCTGGGTTCCTGTTGTTACTTAGTGCTGATTCCCCCTTTCTGATGCTTGTGAAATGAAATATGCACTAAACTACACTATATGGAAACAAACCACACACTAGCAGGTTAATAAAGTTAACACTGCTTTAGTGACTGATTAGTTCCAAAAACACAAAGGAAAAGAAGTAAAATTGATAAAGTTGGTTGAGCAATGGTAAAGTATTTAACATCAACTGAAACCAAATAATTAAATAACAGTGTGGGCCCACTCTGTCACGGCTGTGGCAGCAGTCGTGTGGTGTAGTGAAGGAAGGACCCAAACTGCACTGGCTGTGATGCGAGTGAGCTTTATTACAGAAGGTGAACACAACAAAGTGAGGGCAAAACTAAAACACAACCTAAACTGGGAACAACTGAAGAACAAACCTGAAACCACAGAAACACAGGATGAAGAGCAAAAATGGCACGGAGAATGTTGGGCAGAGAGACGCAGAAATTACACCAGGTTACACAGACGACGCGACAAGGAACACAGGCAGGCACACACTATAAATACACACAAGGTAAGGAGGGAATGACACACCACAGGGGAACACAGCTGAACCTAATTAGACAAGACAAGTAAAACAGAATACAGGACCTTCAAAGTAAAACAGGAAACACAGGGAAGTGTCCAAAACTCAAAAACACTGGGTCACCGACACAGGGCCATGACACACACACTCTCACTGACACACACACCTTAACTGCAACAGTCTTTCTGTTAGCAAAAACCTCGTTGCAGGCCTGAGTTGTGGCTCGGGTGCGTTGGGAATAGGGATGGGTATCGTTTAGGTTTTATCCAATACTGGTGCCAAACTGGTACTTTTGAAACGGCGCTCGAACCGGTGCTTAAACAATGGAAAAAACACAAACTTTGTCCTAAACCTCTCATGTTTAGCTGTTTC